TGAATCACAGGGAAATTGTGTGCGCATATGTGAATATGTCCTAATTTCATCTCGATATGTACATTCGCCACTCAAACACGTTCATCCACGTCAAGTTGGTGAAACACTATTTTCATTTACCGAATAATAATAATTGGATCGACTTGAGCAGAGCTCTGAAAATGCTAGAACACAAGCTTACGTAGAAATTGAAATGAATTATATGTATATCTATCTACTATCTATGTATGCATACATATGTAGGTTACACAACGAATTGGTAAAAAGGCGACAATCTTTGCTAGGCGCCACGAAAATTAGAATATGTCTGCGTCTCTGTTGGAGATGCTTTGTGGCAGTCATCCCTCTTATGAATAGGCCATGAAATAGATTCATTAGTTGAGGGAGAATACAAATGGCATGTGTCGTCAGTCAGAAGGTAGTTAAAGCAACAGAATGACTTTGCCTTCAATTAAAAAAAATATATATATATATATATGAGACACGAAGATGAAACCAATGAAGACCAATGAAGACCAATTCATAACTTTAGTCTTTTTACTTTTTTTTACCATGAATAAAGTTTTGTCCGTTTGTTCGTACGTCATCTGTCAGTATGATTGAAAACGTCGATCACAGAAGATAGAAGAGCTAGACAAATGAAATTTTTTAGTATGTCCTTGTATTTTTTCAACAAAATGATACCTTTATCGACTTTTATTATCGCGCCTTATCAGCCTTATTTCACGTACTTCTGTAAAGTGTCAGAAATTAGCATATGGACGAATATTTTAAAATGTAGATTTTTGATATCTTTCGGATACCGGCTCCAAATGTGACTGCACTTGCCTTTGAAGATCAGTTTTGAGTATAGTTAGTTGCCAAAGAGTATATAAAATGCCAAACATTTAATAATATATGTAAATCATATTCTGACGTCATTAAATTCTCTTTAATACTTCTATATCTATTCAAAAAAAAAAAATTAATTCACGTGCAAGCAGCAAGTAAACATATATAGACGTATATCTAATAAAAAACATAGATCAGTTGGGCATCACGCGCTCGTACTATTCGCCGATCTCAGAAAGTAGAGCTGAAAACTTTTAATTTTATTTGTAAGTCCGTGTATTGCATGCGCAGATCAAGTTTGTTTCAAAATATGTTTTTTTTATAATCATTCACGAAAGTGAAATGGTTTTGTGCAATGTCCGTCCGTCTGTCCTCATGAACGCATTTTTTTCGGCGCTATTGATGCTAGAGACTTGATATTTGAAATATACTCTATATACTATATACCCTAAATTTATAAGGTGAAATTTGATATATATAATGTAACGCAAATGGGTAATCTGCATATCGGGAAATACTCTAAATTTAATACCGTATATACTCTAAAATTAATATCGCCAAATAGTTTCCATTCATACGGATAGATCAACGTGCAGCTATTGAAGATCTTAACAATAGTTTCGTGCTTATACATGTATGTACTAAATGGCGCGTATGTTTTGCCGGAATATATTCGAAATTTTCAATCTCTCAATAGTGACTTGTAAGACGAACATTGCACAAACCCTAACTTTAGCTTCATCAATAAATATATACATGATAATGAAATTGAATTCTCTGACTTTTTTATATATGTACATAAAACCAGATCAAACTTGAACCAATCAGCGTACTTCAAATAGAATTCTATTACAATTTAGTTAGTCCCCAGATAATATCAAGGTCAAGTATGTAGCTCAACATTAATAGCTAGAGATCGATGTACACACTTAAAATTAAACACTTGAGACCACAGCCGTTGCGCTGCAGGATACTCAATTGCGAGCTCCCTGGCGACAGAGTGTCTAGAGTCTAGACAAGTGCAGTCTGCGCAGCTGGCAAATGCATAACGGTCTACGTACAGGTAGAGCCCTCAACCTCACCTGACCAACGAATTTTCAATAGAATTTGTTTCAGCACTGCGCAGGCTAATGATATTTTAACAAGATAGCGGGATTTCCCAGCTCTCAAGAGCTTCGAGTCAAGCGACGGACAGCGTAGCTAAACAGCCTCTAAGTCTCGGGGTAGGTTTCATTCATGAAATGTGTTAGAAATTTGAAAACATCTTGAGAATGCCTTAAAACACTTGACAGTGAAGCCTCTTTCACAGTTGAGTTTCCATTCATTCATAAATCGCGCGTGTTTTTCGTATTGTGCATGGAATCTTTTCAAGTCTAACCCAATGCACGTTAGAATAGACTAGCCGAATTTACTCTGCCCATACTACGGCAAACTGAGAGCTTTTAGTACTTCTTATGTATGTAGTTGACGGCAGCTCCCAAATTTATATCAAAAACAAAAATGATTTGATTATTGTTTTCCCAGAAAATATAAATATATACATGGTTTTCTCTGCAGTAAAATTGGCAGAATATTGATTTAATATAGACCAATTCTAGTTTCAGTACTATATGGTGTGCTATGTACAAAGCACAATATTCAATGAATTTGCAAAAAACAAAAAAAAACTGCATGCACAACAGGAGTTGGTACCACCTACCTGAGCACTTCAGTCTCAAGAGTTCGATCTTCAACTCAAGTGGGCGCACACTTGAAAAACAGTAAGGCAAGTCTTTCATATACATGCGTTCTGATAACGATCGTGCAATAGACGAATACTACCTGAGACGAATTTTCAAGAATGAGCACAATGAATGGAACTCAGAATTCCGTTTAAAGCCACCGACTGGGCCATTCTGCACGAGAACTGCTGACCCGCAGGGGCGTAGGTGCAATTGCGTTTATTAGCACCGCACCCCTCATTCTTTCTCTCTCATTGAGTTTTGGAAGAGCCTACAATGCCTTGCTCATTGAAGGATCGATGACAATTGTTGTTGACTTTGTCTGAATCAGCTGAGAGACCGAAGGCCCGAAGGAGTTTTGTTGCGCTCGATTCGATTTGGCCGGTAGTCCTCAGCAAGTATCATTTGATTATTTTGTACCCAACAATGATAAGCATCTGAGTTGGCGTATTCTGTATGTTACAGATGTGCTAAAATCGTTGCATGCGCAAAACTTCTTTGATTGGAGTTTTCGCTCAATTAAGCATTAAACCTTAAGATTTTCTTTCTAAAGTAGCACCATGATATCGCCATATTTCACATGATTTATTGTGGTGCCATGAGAATGCAACTTTCATTGTCGTCATTACTGTCGTTGTTGCGGTTAGCCTTGTAGTATATAAAATATCTAACAGAGCAAACCATAAATTCACATCTGAATGCTAAAGTGTTCTAAATATAAATCCTATGTATAACAGATACACTAAAATTCAAATTCGAATAGACTACCCTGACTGCGGATCTGTCCACGATTTATTACGCCTGTCGACTTATAGGCAGAACGTACCCAAAGTAGAAGGAATGAAATCTAGGTTGAGATGTGTGAAAATGTAATCTGACAAATTTCGAAAAAAGCAACTATATTTCAGGCCATCATTTTCTAGTTGATTGGATTAACGCAAAACGATTTTTTTTGCTATAACTTCAAACAATTTTCTCTAGTTCCTGGGCGTATGTCAGCGTATGAACAGCGATATCTTTTGCCGGTACTTTCTCCTTTTGCCTCATGTGTAGATCGGCATAGTTGAAATTTCCATCCTCATCTAGGGTCCATTTCCGTTTTTTGACCAGAGCTTGCATCTCGTGGCCTCCGGGTTTGAGACCCAAGCGCAGTGCTGCTTGCTTTTGTGCGATCTTGCCATAAGACTTTTCCATGCATGAGGCTATCTCCTCCCGGGCCGTACTCACCAGTAAATCCATAAAATCAGCATATAATTCAGATGGCATCGACTTCTTTGCCTGCAAAATTTTGTTGTACCGTCCCTCCATGAAGTAATTCTCCAGCGCCAGCACCGGCGAAATGAAAGGGTTTTGCAGAAGCAGAGCCGACGGTAAACGCTCCAACTCAATGTGAAAGTCAGCAATGCGATTGGTGGCCAGCAAATAGAGCAAGTGGAGACCCATGAATTTGTGCATCTGCTGCGAGGAGTCTAGGTGCTTATCATAATCAAAGTAGTACATCTTTAGCTGTGTCATGTACCGCTCAAAGGCGGCATTGTCTTTGATCTTGATGCTGTGCTCAATAGCTATTTCCAGCATATCCCGCGACCTCTGCAGCTCCTGTTTTTGCTGCGGATTTACTTCGCCCTCATCCTCAACGTCCACGTAGCCCGAGCGAACCATCTCCAACTTAAGTGAGTTCAAGAGCTGGCCGCAATGCGCCAAATTCGGTGAGGCCTTTGACCATTCTGATTTCAACTCCTTGTAAATGTTCGACATCACGTTATAACGATGAATTTGTTAGATATAAGTTTGTATTTTCCATCTGCTGATTTGGTTTTGGATCTTACTAAATTGTATTTTCTCGGAAACAGCCAGTAGAAAATGAAGGTTCCAGGCCTACTGAACATTCATACATATATAACAATAACGCTCTAGTCTGAAGTGCCTGTCTAGGAGCTTAAAATAAAAATTTCCCTAAGACTGTTCAAAATTCTGATATAAAATTGTAGTACAATGTCGATTTCATGGAAATACATTTGGAGTACATCTTGAGATTTGCAGACGCTGTAGCCATAATATACATACTTGACAGTTGAACACGGATAGATCGACACGAATTGAATTCGCTCAAAAAGTCTGTCAAATGAAATAAAAAAATATATTCTATATTATACATATAGTCTGCCTAAAGCAATAAATTAAAAAAGCGATATTCGAAATTTGATTAGTAGATTTGAATCTTTAAATGTGCGATAAATACTGTATTGTAGTTCCCTTTTGAAATCGACAGATTTGAAATACAATATCTGGATATAAACGTGCTATAAGAGAACTTATGTCTCTAGCTCTTTTGGGACAGACACAGCGTGGTTAACCTATGCTTAAACTCCAATCAAGAATGCATCTATCAGATTTCAGATTTTACTTTTGTCGACGGTTTCAGCGTATTAAAAGTAGAGCTTTGAGTGTTTTTCAAATGGTTTTTATTTTAGACTATTCAACATGTACACATTAATGACTATCTTAAGAGGACAACGAATCAATTATTTTTGTACACATAAAACTTAATCAACAATATACATATGTTACGCACAGCACTTGGCCGTGGGTGACGTTTGGGGGCTACTCGAGTTGGCTGATAAATTGAAGGTGGGGCTTTCGGAGCCGCCCTTCTTCTGCTTGACGCGTCGATTCTGGAACCATATCTTCACTTGTTTCTCTGACAGTCGTAGGCGGTTGGCGATCTCGATACGGCGCAGACGGGACAAATAGGCATTGTGGGAGAACTCTCTTTCCAGCTCGAGCAACTGGGTGCTGGTAAAGGCAGTGCGGATGCGTTTGCTTGAGTCAGCATAGTCATTGATCAAGGGGGTGATCTCCAAGCCGGCGCTGGAAACCGCTGTTTGAGACTTAACGGGAGAGCTGGCAGGCGAGCAAGAAGAATCATGCTTGAAGCGTTTCATTGGCTGCTCATCAGGATTGCCATAATCCAACGATGCAGTCGAGGATGCCGATGGCGAGGTACACAAGGCACCGGCTTCATAGACGCTTTGACCGTAGGCTCCCGTCAGCGGAATTGATGGCAGAGCCAGTTGAGCACTGGAGCTGTGAGCAACGGCATTGGCCGATAGCGGAGGCGATGGATAGCAGTCGTCATAGCTCCCAAATCCACTGGACTTTCGCTTGGCTGCGAAAAGCTGCGCATACGGATGATACAGAGATGCGTGAACAGCAGCTGCTGCCGCTGCTTGATGCTTTTGATGTAGTTGTTGCTGTTGCTGGTGCTGCTGCTGGTGCTGCTGCTGCTGCTGCTGCTGTTGTTGCTGGATGCCAAGCGAGAAGAGGTAGCTGCCCACATAACTAGCTGGATATGGCAGCATGGGTATCCCTGGCAGCATTGCTGCTGCAGCAGCTGAGGCGGCCACAACTGCCGCCGTTGCATTGACAGTGGGGTCAATGGGCGACCCAAGTGGCTCCTTATTCTTGTTGAGTGATGGTATATCGCTGAGCAGCGAATCCATTAGAAAGGAGCGCGACATGTTTCCTGAGTGTCGTGATTCGTGAATGCTACTGCTACTCAATTCGGTGCGAGATCCTAGCACGATCGCTGTTCGAGCGTTACTGGTTAGCTCTCCGGCTGTTTCGTTTACTTTATATAGACACCGTTGGCTGAGGGGTTGTTTTTGCACACCCTTGGCCCTGGTCTGAGCTGCCTTTTCATTGTTGTTGACTTCTTTGAGGGTTGTTTGCTCTATTCCCTCTGACCATTAAGCCACCATTTACAGCTTGTCTTCTTCTAAATACAGAAACTGTAGCCATTGAAGCTCCGCCCCTAACACACACAGATCGTTCACAATGGCAGGTAACATATATCGGTAATGGTTGCATGTGTGTGTGTGTGTGTATGGCACAATGTCTTCAACTAAAGTTTGAAATTAGAATGCTAGAGACAACTTTCATTCGATGTGTTATTGGTTTTCATAACCACTTCCTACATATCTTTCCTCAAACATTCAATCTTCCATGTTTGTATAATATAATACCAATACATGATAATATATCTGATTAGTTTTGGCTTTATTTATGGTACATGTACAAATCGGGAACTACATTTCGAAATTCGGACGTGTTCAGTACTGGACGTTGATATTTCTTGCAGTGCCTGTAACTATCAATATTTGAATAGTCCACCGAAAACGACGAGCCCTAGTGCAAGTTGAGGTGTGCAAATATTATTCAATGGCCAGGAAATAGATTTTAAATTGGAATTCAAGCACAAGTTGTGGAAGAATTTGAAGTATGGGAGAGGAATAGCCAGTAGAAGAAGCAATATGAAAAGCAAGTGATATTTCATTTCTGTCTGCATTATAACAAATATTTACTCTCAAATATGTGTCTGAGCTTAGATTGGGAGCAATAATATAATAAAACATTATTCAGCAGTGATCTGTAATTTTTGTTATACATTAGTATACTTTTGTGGTTAAGACATTAAGACAATTGAATCGTATTGATTCATGGTTAGGACAAATTCCAAAAAGTTTTTTTTTTTGTCTATCACGTATCGCTGAAGCCAAATTTTATAGCAGTAGTTAAAATGCTAACGTTAATTATATGTAGATATAAGTTGGAATTTTAAACTATGAAGTAAGGCATTGATTTTTCGAAAATAATCGGACTGTTTGCAATCTAGCTGATCGATCACACGGAAGGCTGATGTCTAGAAATTTCATGCTATCCATTTGCTTGCCAATTTGTCTGTTTGTATTGTCGACTACACTATGATAACCTTAACATGTTTTTATGGGTGCATTATCCTTGTGTGCGTCTGCCAAATCGGTTAACAATGCCCTCACATACTTACTACACATACACAAGCACACATACACATATACGCATACAAACTTGGCCCATTCAGGTTGAGCCGTGGCATTTCATTCACGACCTGGACCCTAGACCCGATGCCCGATGCCCATTGCGTCTTTGTGCTCGGCCAGACAGAGTCGCCTTAGAATGAGAGAAGTTGACAGCAAGGGCAAGAGCGAGAGGGAGTGCAGGAGAGTTGATTTTTGGGCTACGTTACGCAGAGAACATTTGGCGGCAGTTTTATCATTTGTTAACTGACTTTAAGGATTTCCTATAATTGTCCTTTTCACGCCATTGTGCTACGGCGTGTGTAATGCTTAGGTGTTTGTCCGGGTGCTGCTTTGTGTTGTGTCTCTTCTTTCTGTGATGCTTCCATGATATTTTATCATATGTTAAGTGGCTATAAAACTCCACACAATTACGAACGTTAATTGTTGTCCCACTCTGACGGTACATCTCAAATTGCATTGTTAACTGCAGTTGCATAGCTTTAGGGTCCGGCATAGAGAGGTGTCCGACATATCGTTTGTTTTTTCTATTTTGGGGCATTGTTGTTAGTTTTGGCTTCTGCTTAATTGGCGTACTTTCCTTATTGTAAGCCCATGCAAAAATTCTTTGCAATCCAAGTCGCAGCTGCAGCAACAAATTTTTTTTTTTTTTCTTTTTGCCAATGCGTTGTGTAGGCGTTGCGCCGGTCTCGTGCTCAGAATCTGGACCAGTTTTTGTTATAAGATATTGTTAATCGTGAAGGGCTTCTTGAGCACTTTGTACTGCTCACCTTTGACCACATCCGTTTGTAGATGCTCAGTTTATACGCTCGAATTACTTCAAGTATTGTTGATCGAATAGATCGTGCTATTATCGCATTCTGTTTTCCACGAATGCTAAGGTCAAAAGCAGTTCTAATTTGTTTCCTCGGAGACATGAGCTGCATTTACACTGAGAGAATGTTTGAGTTCTATTAGCAAACATGTTTAAGGATCCAGGGCTTTAAGAAGCTCCCTTTTGGAAAAGCGAAGACCACAATATCATTTTAATTGTAAACAAAACTGGGGTAAGCGCTAAGCAAATCAAAGCGGAGAGAAACTTTGTATATAATTTGAAGCAGATGGAGTGTGATAGAAAGATAGGGACAAAAAGAGAAAGACAAAGAGAGAGAGAGAGAGAGATTCTATGGCAAACTGGATACACCAGTCATCGCGTGTACGCTAAGAACCACCACCAGGAGCACCACCAACAAGATGGGATCTGCTGCACCCCGTTTGGCTTATGAGAGTTCAGTTGCTTTGATTGTACAGCAATCGTTCTTGACATTAATTGGTAGTGACATTTGCATTTGACTGATTGTTGTAGTTGCCATTGTTGCTACTTTGGCAAACACAGTCAGAGAGCGGCTCTGGCTGTACTCCCATTCACGACTGAGGGTTTATTTATTATAGCTCAGGGGCTCTTGATGGACAGAAAGTGGAGAGAAACACTTCTGTGAACGGCTGTTGGCTCAACAAATATGACTTCATTATCGCTCAAGTAGCCTCATATTATAGTGCGCTTATGAATAAATTATAGAAGAGCTTTGCACCACTGAGCAATTGGTGTTTCGTTGCGTGTTTCTGAGTCATCAGACCTCCGGCAATAGATGAGTGCGTGCGGTCTGTTTGTTTGGAATGTCGTTTAGTACCAAATTGGTGAAGGACTTTACGATTCTCCTATGACAGCGTCAATACTGATGGCTATAGAAATACATTTCAAAGTCCTTTACCGACTGTTTAATATTTGATGGCATTCGACCAAAGGCCCAGGACAACAATGCCCAGCTCCATGATTCATTTATGAATGAAAGTCAGTGCAGCACAAAGGCACGAAACAATGAAACAATTGTATTGGATTCTGAACTGAGAGCCGAGAGCCGAGAGCCAAGAGCCGAGCGCTGAGAGCTGAGAGCACTTGCAGTGATCTGCAGATGTCTTTGTGCAGACCTCACCATTCATGTAGCTAATGTCCTTTGTGTGCCGCCAGGCCAGGTACGAGTGGACAGTCAAGGATGCTAACTTTTACGCAGATACGAGATAGTTTAGCTGAGCATTTTTTAGCGGCCATCGTGGTCCGCCGACGGCCGCTACCATTAATCAGAAGTGCTTTGTTGTGGTCAATGTTGTGGCTTTTTGAAGAGGCCAATAGGGTGTAAAGGTCCAAACAATTGAGTCACCGCCAGCAACAGCAACATTCCGAACATTCAGCCCTTACAGAGTTTAACAACTAATCAAATTACACATTTTGTATGTATGCGTAAAACGTACGATAACATTTCCCTTTCCACCACTTCGCCGAGTCAACTGCGACAGCCAGTCAATAAAAACCATATTTAAAATTAAAAGAAAAAACAAAAATAAACAAATAAATGTGTCCACATCCTGGATAAGGGTAATGGAAAAGCGCGCGCGTTGTCCTTGGCAGTCGCTCGCGATTCTGCGCAATAGGCGGCACGTTCTACAGCGGAGTGTGTTCGTGATGGTATCGAAACAACCCCAGGATTGACTGAAATGAATAAATCTAATACATAATGCACACGGCTGCATTATCAATTAATAGACAAAGCACCCTTTTGGGACTCGCAGCAGTTGTTACATTCGTATCTCTTTGTGGCCCTTATCGCCGTTTATGATTTCTAGATTGACAAACATGGCTGCCGCCAACCGAAGATTTTTACTTAAATGAAACAAATTGGGTAATGGGAATACAAAGCTAGTACTCGAAAGGATGAACTTGAGTCAATAGTAAACATTTAGGTTTGCAGATATACTGGATTGATAATTCCCACTGTAGCCAATTAGACAATTTGGTCTAGGCAGTTTGCACGCGTCAGATTTATTAAAATACTACTTCTTAAAATACTGTTACTTAAAATATGCCTGTTTTATTTCATTATTTTTTTTAAATCTAACTTGTATGATTCGATATGATGTATGATGGATGGTATTTCTTTCATATTTGTTTATGCTTTGGATTTTTTTTATACTTTGTTTATAAATATATAACCGAACTAGAATATAAAAATTGAGAAAAATATCATATGGTTCAAGATCGATTGGTCAAATAATAATATGGAGGATAAATATACAAAACAAACATATACAAATAGAATCTCTTTGTGAAACAATTTAATCACATTACGAATAATATATTAAAATAGCGTTTCGAAATAGACTTGACGTTGAGCGGAAATCATGATCTGGAATATCCATTATGTACTTAAGACAGCGCTACTTTATTGGCAATTGCTTATGTATTGTACTTCAGTTTGCTGACAAAGTGGTTAGCCAAGTCGCAAACCAAATTAGAGATGCGAAACTCAAAATATGGCACAATCATCCAAATCAGTGAATGCAAAACTGTACTGTCACAAGCAAATAGATGATTCGATTTGCGAACGCCATTATTAATGCCTTATACAGGATGGTATTTCAATTCGTAATAAGCTTACCTTCATTTGCAATTTACGCATGATACGCGTCTCTTCCCAGCGATCCAGCTCGTCCCACTCCTGATTTGGAAACATGAAATACGAAATGGTGACTATAAAATGGATAAATGAATTGTATAATACTCACCTTACCACGCCTACGCAGCAGATAATAACGGTACATAACTATAGTTACAGCCAGCAGAAGCGCCAGACCAGTGCCAGCCGCGGCACCCAAGACAGCCGAGCTTACCATTACCATTTTAAATCTCCCTTTAGTCGAATGACTTTTCGCGTATTCTTCAGTTCAGGCAGGCTTGTCAGTTCTTAAAGTGGAAATTAAGGAAGCATTTACTTAGTATAAAAAGTGTCTTCTCGAGGAATAAAATGTGTCTTAGTTTTGTGCAACATTCGTCTTGCTGTCAAACTGTTCCATAACTATCTAAGACTAAGACTTACAACTTTACGTGACAAATCGAATAAGATTATATTTGTCACAGTTTGGATCTAGAATTGCAAAATTTTGCACGTTAGTGACTTCTAATATGCTCTATACTCTATCAAATCAAACAAGTAAGAGTGCTCTAGTCAAGACAGCTTGACTAGGAGATACCCTGAACCCCGCAAGGAAATAATATTCCAATCATTCTGCAGACATACAAAAACAAATGCACACATGTGTATGTACATACAACTGCATCGATAAGCGCGCATGGGCTGCAGTGTGGGCAACAGTATCAGAATTTATTTGTTGAATAATTTCTCTTGTAGTGAGACTATTTTCATGAAACTTTCAGAAATTTATCATAATGGTCAAATCTTTTTTTATCATAAACACAAATCTCCCTACAAATGAGGGGGCGAATGGGGGCGTGCTTTCAAAAATCTGCATATGACAACATCTTTGCATTTATCAAATGTATATACACAGAAAATATGATGTTTCCAGGTCTAATAATATTAAAATTACGCTGAAAGCCCCTAATTAATTTATCGATTATTTTCGATTAAAATGAAATCGACTGAGTTATCGAAAAAATGTGATAAACTCATACTGCGTATGGTATACAAGAGTGTACATGTCTGTACTGTTTCAAGTCTCTAGCTCTTATATCTTCTGAAATCTCGTCGTTCAAACGACGAGCTGAGCCAATTAGGCCCTGTCAGTCTGTCTGCCCGTCCGTATGTATGAACGCGTCGATCTCAGTAGATATATAAGAGCTAGAGACTTGAAATTTGTTTTCCTAGGTCCGTATGTATCCCGCACCTATCGAGTTTTTCTACCAAAATAACTACTCCCGATATTTTGTTATCGATTGAAAACCTTATCGAAAACTATTTATTTAATTAAATCTATATATTTATATATTATTGTTGTAATTTAACCCCCACCCCTATATGCACCCCCTCACCAAAATATTTGTAAAAGGCGTATTTCGTATTTTGTTAGGATCACGATCTACAAGTTTCATGGAGGTAGTCCATTGACAAGAATAATTATTTTTTTTTAATTTATTTATAAGGAACACTTTATTTTATATCAGTATTTACACAAGTGTGAGTGATTTACATGTGAAAGTTAAGAGTACAGGCCATAAACCTTTTCTGCTTAAATGTTAATATTATTTGTTCAGGAAATTTAATTACATTTAGAAACATTATTTTTGAAGGAAAAGTATAAACAAAAACCTCGTAAATTGACTTAAAGACTAAAAACTTAAAATTAAAATTAAGACTAATTGCTTATTGCTTATAAGGGTTCATTACTGTTTTGTAAATGTAGGTAAGATGAATAACTACAACGGGTTACAAAATTTGTGTGCAACTTAGTCAATCTATCTGACGCTAGTTCGACTCTGGCAATATAGTGTAGCTCCGCAGTAGGGTAATGCCACGGGAGATTAAATATTCTTTTTAATATTTTGTTTTGCAAGACTTGGATTTTACAGATATGAGTCTTAGCTATATCAGCCCAAACCGGAGCCCCGTAAAAAATTGTGGACTGGAAAATTGATCTAAATAGGTACATTTTATTTTCTAAACTTAGTCGAGAGTTCCTATTTATGAATGGATATAACACTTTAATTAATATATTTGTTTTTTTAATAATAAATTGGACGTGATCAGAAAAAGTTAATTTTTTGTCTAACAAGACACCAAGATATTTAACATTGTTCTCCCAGTTAATGTCTACTTGGCTTAGATTAATAGGATGTAGAGGAATATAATTATTTTTCCTATTTCTTGTAAAGTATATTGCTTGGGTTTTTTCCGGATTTATAAGAATTTTCCACTTAGTAAAGTACGCAACTAGAACGTTAAAGGCTGCTTGGAGAGAATCTGAGATATCGGTTGCCAGTTTACCAGAGCAAAGGATTGCCGTATCATCAGCGAAAATGGATGCCGTGCATCCACTTAAAGCAGGGAAGTCGGATGTATAGATATTATATAATATTGGGGAGAAGCAGGATCCTTGCGGGCAACCTGCAGGAATATAACTTGCACGTGAATGAGCATTGCCTATGTACACTGTAAAGAATCTGTCTTTCAAGAAACTGCGTATTATTTTAATAATCTGCAATGGGAAATGTAAGAGGTTCATTTTGTACACAAGTCCTTCATGCCATACAGAGTCAAAGGCCGCTTTAATGTCTAGCAAGACCATACCCGTAGATTTGGAACTACTAAAATTGGCCTTGACAATTTTTTTAATTCTACCCAGAGGATGAATGGTATTGTGTTCACGACGGAAGCCATACTGAAGAGGCGAAAGGACATTATTACTTTCAGTAAAGTCAACTAATCTTTTCTTAATGACTTTCTCTAGGATTTTACTGACTGATGAAAGCAGACTTATTGGTCTATATGATGTAGGGCATTCAGGAGGCTTGTTTGCCTTTAAGATGGGAATGACTTTAGAGATCTTCCATTTATGTGGAAAATATCCGAGGCGTAGGCACTCATTAATAAGGAATGAAAGAAATTTGACTCCTTTACGAGGGAGGGCTTTTAGGCACACATTTTCAATGTTATCCAGACCTGGAGTCTTCTTGGATTTAAGCTCTTTTAAAATCGAAGATACCTCATGGACATTTGTCAGGTATGATTCGTCGTGGTCAACAGGCAGGGAGTCCAATAACCCCGTGAAACTGTTGACCTCAGAGCTAGTGGATGGATCACCGAGGTTAGCTGAGTGCGAATGGTTCAAGGCGAACAATGATGCTAATAGTTCGACTTTCTTATCGGCACTTACGAAATTTTGCTGATTGTGTGTGAGTGTGGGTATTCCACTGTATTTCTTCTTGATGACTTTTGAAAGCTTCCAAAAGGGGGAAGAATTTTTTTCTAGCGAGGATAAGAGATTATTCCAGTTCTCGTTTCTGAGTTTGGATAATTCAATATTAACTAGTTGGCTGAACCATCTAACTAGAGTCAGATCACATATATTTCTGCGTCTCAACCAATTTCGACGGTGCCTGTTTCTAAGTTTTATTAGAGAGATTATATTAGGAGGTAGAGCTTTGGGAGAAGATTTGATTTCTCTTTTAGGAATACTGTGCTCTTTAGCTGCAACGATCACTAAGCTAAACCAATTTATTAAATTGTCTATGTCGTCCTGCGAACTAGCGGGGAAGGAGTCGCAGTCTGGTAATAGTCGGTTGATTGTTCTACCAAACACAGTCCAGTTTGCGTTTTTGATATCATAGAAGAATTTTTTAACTTTAGTGTAATTTGAGTGCAGTATTGTTTGGACAGGGAGATGATCCGAGCCTAGATCATTTATTGCTATAGTATTGGATAACAGTTGACAGTTGTTTGAAACAAATAAGTCTAGCGTAGACGATTGATATCTAGCACTCGCTGGTACATAAGAGTGTTCATTAGGGAAATGAACTGTAAGTCCACGAGATAATGAGAAGTTGTACAGCAATGATCCCCAGACATTTGCTCGGTTACAGCCCCAGAGCCTGTGTCGGCTATTAAAATCTCCTCCTAACACTAAGTTTCCAGGAGTGCGGGTTAATAGTCGCAAATCATTTGTAAAGATTTGTTTTTGAAGGGGGTCCGCTCGACCACCACCAAAATAACAGCAAAACAGTGAAGTGCAGGTAGTTCCGTTAATGGTAATATTTATGCCAATAGATTCGATTAAATTTGTGTTAGGGAGGGGAAGCAGGGTATGGCGAATAGATTTTTTTAATAATAATGGCAACCCCTCCTCCTCTTCTACTAGATCTGTCACATCTGTAACAAAAGTAGTTATTGTTTTTAATTGATAATGAGCTGTTAAGCCAGGATTCAGTTAGTAGACAGATATCTACATTTTCTCTATTTAAGAAAGCAAAAAGCTCATCTTTCTTATTTTTAACGCCTCTAGCGTTCCAAGTTATAATTGAGAGATGATCAAACATTATGTACGAACTTGCATGCCAATGATGTTATTAATTCGAATTGGTCTGCCTTGGTCTTGCAGTTTCTTAAGTTTTTTATAAGCTCAAATGTAAGGGACTTGATCTCCTCCAAAGAGAAAAGATCCTTGTTGACATTAGGAGTGTGATTGCCATTATGGTTAACCCATCTGGCGCTTGAATGAAAATTTGATTTACTTAGCGTATTAGGGAACGCATTGGAGTAATCAAGCTGTGGTGGCAAAGAAATATTAGTACGATTGGGTCTTACTTGATGCGACCGATATTGAGATCTTAGATTTAGGTAACTAATCCTACTAGGGCAGTTAGCGTCGTTGGATTTATGTGAACCATTACAGTTGGCACATTTAACAGTAGATCCATCCGGACATTCAGCGGTTTTGTGAGGTCCAGCGCAGTTAGAGCAATACGACTTCACGGCGCAGCGGTTTGAGCCATGACCAAACATTTGGCAGTTGTAGCATTGAGTTATTTGGTGACTGGATTTCTTTTGATACTCCCACTTCACTCTTACATAGTTGATAACTGAGTGGTTTTTTCTAAGCTCATTGAGTGTGATGGATTTTTTGGTGAAGAAGACCACGTATAGAATTAGGACAGTGTTGTTTGGTCTTTTTCGCTGAACCAGTTTAACATCTAGACAGTTTAGACCAAGACCGATAAGCTCATTTTTTAATGAAGAGGGATCCATTTTATCTAGCCCCAACAGCAGTGCTTTGTATGGCCTGTCATTTTTATCGGCGTAGGAGAAATATTCAAATTTTCCATGCATTACACTGCACGCGGCTTTATGGTCATTTATATCGACGCAATGGAGCTTGATTCCAATTGAAATCTTTTTGATGGAATATTTAGTGCAATTAATTTGTTTGCAGATATTATGAATTTGATCCACT